GTGCCCTGGTGTCCAATAAAATCTAATGTTGACGTCCGTCGGGAATGTTTTGAAATTCGTACGGGCACTGATTATCAGGTGTTGACCAGATGTGGCTCTTGGTATGTCATGAACCAGTCTAAGTACTCCTTGATTGTCGCTAAAGATCGCAATATCGGACGCTATTGGTCGGTGACGTCGGAGTTGAGAGTTAGCTAGCTGAGCTGCTAGTTTGATTCCTAATAGTTCAGCTTCGTGGTTAGAGAAACTGTCAGTTTGGAGGATTGTTTGGTTAGTTTCTAGTATCTCAGATACTGCTGCCGCTCCACCGCCTTCAGAAGAGACTGAGCCATCAGTGAATATTACAATGGAGTTTCGGCTTTTTTCCTCTTCCACTTGTTTTGGGACGAGTTTGGTGGCCTCTTCTTTTGACTTGTCGAGGTTGTGTAAACTACCTAGTGTTCCAATCCAGGGTGCGAATGGATGTGCATAGATTGTTTCCATTCGTTCTTCTGCTAAGCGTTGGAAGTCTGTAAACCGGAGCACGTCTTGAATGGGTCCTTTGATTTTCGTCGATGTGCGGTTTAGTTCGAGCCTAATGAATCGTTGTGTTGGGTGATCATCCGGGGCGGTCAGCCGCTTGAGTAAGAAGGAGTGGTGGCGCCTGGTTGCTACGTTGGTGAAGGGGAGCATGAATGAGTCGTGTTCGAGCATAGTCGTTGATGTGCCTTGAAAAGCCCCTAGGATTAATCTTTGTGCTGCGTGTTGTAAGGCTGCTAGGATCTTGGAAGCTTTCTTCGAGTTTCTGGACGTGAGCCAAATGATACTGCCATAGAGGATTCTAGGGAGTAACACCGCAAGAGTAAGTCTCTTTACTTCATTGGGAGAGAGTCCTGAGTAACATTTGTTCAGTCGTTTCAGTTGATGGATAGTGAATTCACCAGCTTTCTTCATTTGCTGCAGGTGTTTGTTGAAAAGGAGTTTAGTATCAAACCAAATACCTAGCCATTTGACTGTTTGTTTAGGTTTTAGCAGTACCTCACCAAAACGGAACTCGAGAGGTTCGATTTTCCTTCTGTTAGTGAAATGGATCAGTTGAGCTTTCTTCTTATCAAAGATAGCACCATGGGACTTGCCCCATTCCAGTGACCTTTTTGCATAATAGTCCATCTTAAGCATATTTTCCTCGAGTGAGGGGCCTGAAACTACATGTACTACATCATCTATGAAGCCTAGTGATAAGTTATCTGAGTTTGGGTCAATTGTGTTTTTACCGAGAAGCGATGAGTTATAGATGATGTAAAGGATGACTGAGAGAGGGGAGCCTTGAGGGAGGCCGTTCTCGATGTTGAACCCTTCTGAAAGATAGTCTTGAAGCCGTAGAATTGTAGTTCTCTCCGAGAGGAAACCTTGAATTAGCCTCAATAGATAGTTCGGGCAGTTATGATGATAAAGTGTGAACCATAATCTCTCTCGATGGACCAACGGGTAGGCTGACTTAACATCGAGAAATAATGCTGATACAATCTTCTTTTGACGCCACTTTTCTTTTATCCAAGAAGTTAGTATGATTAAAGCGTCCTCAGTCGAGTGTAGGCGTCTACCCCCCATATGGCCTGTGGCAAGGATTTTACGTGATTCAGCCCAAAAGGTGATCCTGCTCGTGATAATTTTCTCTAGGATCTTGCCCAGACAGCTTAGAAGAGCAATAGGTCGGTAAGAGTTTGGATCTGAATAATTGTCCTTGCCGTTCTTTCTAATGATTATAGTAACCGCGGAGCGCCAAAGTTTGGGGAAAAATCCTTTCTCAAAACAAGCGTTGAAAAGCCTACATAGCACCTCTTCAATTGGTGGTAGAGCCAGCTTGATCAGTTCGTTTGATAAGCAATCTCCACCCTTAGCTTTCTTGTTCGGTAGGTTGTCAATGATTTTACGGAGTTCGTGGGTCTTTAGTGTTGGAAACGTGTTGGGAGATGAGGTGATTCGATTCCAGAAGTCTGAAGGGATATCCGAAAGGTCCGCATCAGCATGAGCTACTGAAGTGCCGTAATAGAGTAATTCAGCCTGTTCTTTGATGGTTGGGGCCACTGATCCATCCGCTTTTTTGAGAGGGGCAATATCACTGGAGGCATTCGGCTTTACGTATCGAAAGGCTTTGAAAGAGTCGTTGCCTGAACTTGAAGCTAGGTAAGTTTTCCAGTGGTCCGTCTTGGCTTTGAGTACTTGCTCTCTGAAAAATTGTTGCCATTCCGCATAACACTTGTGAGCTTCCGGGAGATTTGATAGTAACATCCATCGGCGGGCACGATTTCGATTCTTCAAGATTGGATTAAGTTTCTCTTTATCCCACCAGACCTTGTGTCTGTTGAGTTTAGTTTTAACTTTCCTACCTTGGTCGTGTGCCGCCTCTAAGATGATATCCGAGAGAGTTGAGACTGCCGAGTCGATTTCTGTAGTGTTGTTATAGTTTGTAGGAAGAAGGTGAATTTTTGATGAGATTTTCTTATGTAAGCGGGTAATATCAATGTCAGCAATTTTGAACGCAATATGGGAGTCATTTGGGGGGGCAAGGGAAAGGTTGAGTACTGTCTCCACTGGGAAGTGGTCTGATGATACACTGTTTGTGATCACTCTACAGCTTACGACTTTTGCTGTTAGGTTCCAGCTAGACCATATGAGGTCAATTGTAGTCGAATGGGTTCCTGTAGAGAATCGAGTGGCAATGCCTTTTGGCGAGATGAGTTTGAGGCCTATCGAGCTGCAAAGTGATATTAGTTTCTTAGCGTTGTTGTCCGTAGTTTGGTAGTCAGGTGGGTTCCAACTACGATGATGAAGGTTGGAGTCTGTCATAAGGATTGTTGGGATCTGTCTACTGTGGTTTCTTTTCAGCCAGTGTTTGAGTGAAAGAAGTCCTCTGAGTGATCCGGGTGGGTTGTACCACGATAGTACGCGAATCTTGACTTGTTGAGAGGAGGGGTCTCTGATGTTAACCGCTAGGATAATATCTGATGAGCTAGGTAAAATTTCGATTTGTTGGGTGAGGATCTTTTTTGATATATAAATACAAACTCTTGGCCTATCAGACCAAGACTTAGCAGAGTAATTGTAAGCTGTGATTTGTCGCCAGGCTTCGTGTTGGGGGAAACTGTTGGAGAGCGTGTTGAACCATGGTTCCTGGAGGCTCAAGATCATGTGTTGGGTGTGTGTTAACGCTTCGTGGGTGACCTGTATAGAATTTTGACATTTAAAGTGTAAGATTGAGAAGGTATCTACAGAAGAATTAGTGTTAGCTGGTAGATCATGTTCGGAACATTGATCCTCGTCAATTTCAAGTGAAGGAGGGATAATTGGGCAGTTGGGAGGGGGGTTAATACCGTTATAACTCATGTTCAGTGTTGGATGTTGGAATAATTTTATACTTCGTGTTTCTTAGTGGGCAGCCTAAGCTTTTTGGGGAGTGGTTATACTTAGCTGAGAATCGGTCAACCTTATCTTTTGTTTTTTGGCTGTCAAAGTGAAAGCATCGAGCGCAGACTTGGTCAGTGTCATTGTTAGCACAATCTTTTGTGTTGTGGGGATCACCACATTTGGCGCAGAAGGCATCATTATTGCATGAAGAGTGAGTGTGATGTAAATCAAGACAGTTGAAACACATCGTTGGACCCTGTACATATTGTTTGCTTTTTAACCAGTTACAGTCAGCGTAGAGCCCGCCTTTGCCTAATTTATGAGCTAAATATTTGTCGAGGAGATTAAGGACAATAGTGCCATGTTGCTTTCCAGTGTCGTTCGGGTTTTTGAGCCATTTAACAGAATGAATGAGTTCAATCGGTATATCGTTTTCTTCGCAGATCATTTGAGGGAAATCGGTGCTATCCACTTCTAAGTATGCTGGAACGTAGTTGAACAGTACCGGGTATCTAGTTTGTGAGGTTTCGAATTCCTTGTGGGCAAGTTTCGTCCAGATGTGCTTGTTCTCGAGGAGCCAGGTTTTCATCAAGCGGTTATCCATGTTCATGAGTATGTCACCAGAAGGTAGAATCGATGCACCTCGTATCTTGACTTGAGTGTCATTGACCTTAGCGTTGATTGAGGTTAAAACTTTGTTGATGCTTTGAACCACTTCACGGTTTTTCATACCTTTGAATGGTTCGGTCCCGGGAGTCTTGTGGATAATAAGTGTGGCTGTCCTAAATTTGTTGATCTCTGCGTTTTTCGGCGGAGGGTTCGGAGTTGGTGGTGATTGATGTTTGGGGTACGGGTTGGTCCAAGCCATTGGTCTAGTGGGTGGGGTGTTGTTACTGTCGGTGGGTTGATTAACACTACGTTGGGTAGGTGAGCGTTCTTTGAGGATCCTGATCTCTTCCCTGAGCTCTTTGATCGTGTTGTTTAATTCGTTGATCGTATTTTCAAACCCATTCATCATCCTAATCATGATTTGGAGTAGGGTATCGTTTGATTGTTGTCCAGCTGAAGACATAGAACGGAAGTCGCTCATCATTGAATCCGAGTCGTTCGATCGTAATACAGTCGGATTCTTAGGAGGGGGTTGGTTCTGATTAACCTCACCGGTGTCCGGTGGGCGTTTTTGAGGCATAACTAGCGATAAAGGAGGTTATAGAGAGTTTTTGTTGATTTTGAATGTGTAGTACCGATTTTTTCCTTTGAGAGATGACAGAGACTACATAGAGACTGTCCCTTGCCTCACCCTGTACCCAGCCGGTTTAAGTAATTGTTTACTCCGCAATATATCGGAGATCCGCCTTGCGGGTCGGGTTGCGTGGTGCAGGACTCGCTATGAGGATTTATGCTTATGTGATGCGGTGCGCAGATCGCACTATGTATTTCGCTGGGTGTAGTGGTTACCCGGCCCGCTGCACAACCGCTGCACAACCGCAATAAATTTCGCAGTTATTCTGGTGTTGCCCTAGATCCCATAGGAACTTCATCATTCATCTCAACTTCGACGATACCAAGGTTTTCGATCCTGCTCTATATCCCTCGATCCCATTCTGCCGGTCATGTCGATTGTCAACATCAGTGAGTTCATTGATAACCCCTTCCAATACCTTGTCTGTCAAGCACTCACCCAAGCATTCGTTTGTTCCTCCTAGCCGATATTGCTGTTCTCCACAACCCAGCCAAGTTCACCGACCCTTATCAATTTAAGATTACCTTTGAATGTATCGCACCCCTCGAAGATGGTAGGTCCTTTATCTCACACGTACTTGTGACGATCTCATGTATGCTACGATTTATCTTATGTAACAAAAACCTTCACTTTGGGCCTCTGGGTTTATATCGTAGACATCGAATGGAAGTTGATATATGTTGGCTCTGCGGAAAGTACCGACAAAGATCAAGAGCTTGATACTTGCATGGTGGGCCCTGTGCCGGTGGGTGTTAACAGTTTTGCATTTGAGGTACGCTTTCCGCCTTTGGGCTGGTCGTAATACTTGACGTCATCCACTCGAGGCGGTCCAAAAGCCAACCAGTTCTCCTTTAGGCAGCTGCTCCAGATTCGTCGCGCATTCCTTCCCATGAGCTGGTTGGCGTCACCGTTATCCTCCTCACGGCCTCTTACAAGAACAAGGAATTCGTTCGCGTGGGCTATTATGTCAATACTGAATATGACGACCCCCACCTCCGAGCCCTTTACTCTGACTCCGAATTGATTACCGAGGAGATGATTAAATCACGCCCGAACCCACCTATCATTAGTAAACTCGTCCGGAATGTCCTCGCCGAAAAGCCTCGAGTCACACGCTTCAAAATCACCTGGTTTGTCTCCCACTTCTTCCGTACTCAATCACGCGCGAGGCCCCGCTGACCACCATTCGGGGCGACACGCAGGGATGCACCCACGTTGCCAGCTGCAATCCCTATCCTTCCAGCCGTGGTTGGCACTGCTGAGGTATCAGGGGATATGACACCCAACTTATCTGGATCAGTGAACGCAGGCGCTGTTAATATGTTTTCGCCCACTCCTGTCGAGTACCAAGCTCCTCCTGTGGCTGTACCTCTCAATAGCGGCCTACCTCAGCAACAAATCGTCCCCGAAAGTCTCTCAACCCCTATAAACATGGCGACGAAGTGAAACACATGGACCTATCGGGTGGATGCACAACTCACACAGACGTGTATCTCGAGCCAATCTCTTCTTTCTGACTTCATGTGTTTGGACGAATGTATGGTTTCATAACCATACATGCCGCTAACACCTATGCTATAAGAACGCCCCCCTCGGTTGAAGCTTAATTTTGGATTCTATTAATGCAATGTCTGATTCTAAATAGCCATTATGTTTCATGGTCAATACCAGTTGTGATAGTTGTATCTCAGGGCCGACCAGTTGAAAATCATTTTTATCATGTGAGGAGACAATTGGGTATCGCATAGCGACATCACCATTAGCATGACGCGTGTGGTAATATGTACATACGAGAAGTGATATGTTTTTCTTTCTAAGATCATGACATCACTTATTAAGCTTGATGATTACATCATATATATTAAGACCAACTGGTTCTCTTTTGTTGTTCTTTTCTTCATCGAACGTAATAATTATTTTCTCAATCACAACCGCGACTGTAGTTTGTAAAAACAAAGAAACTTGAAAAGGAAGATACTGACAGATGATGCTGCATGTGAAACAGTCTTTGATCTTCCACAAGCTGGATCATGAAACACATCATTGCCAGGTAAGAAGGCAGATTGCTCTTGACGGCGGTGGACATGAGCATCTCTGACATCCCTGACTGAGAACAAGTCCCCCATGCCATGTTGCCAGTCGGACGAGGGGATAATCATTCCCGGAACTCTTTTAGCCGCAGTGACTATACAAGACAACCAACGAGGAGGTGGAGCGTCATATCCAGAGGTCAAGAAAGAGTCAATGGTGGGCTGCTGGTGCGTGTTGCACATGATATTGATTGAGGTTATCGGAGGGTGATTGGTGATGGAATTGATGGGAGTATAGTTGAGGAAAGCAACAGAAACAATCTGTAATGGTATTAAATGGAGAGAAATTAAGGAAAGGAGACACTGATTAACACCTATAAAGAAGGCAATTAATAAACCATGCCGACATGAAAACTGGTTTGACGCCGGTCTTCACTAGCTGGGATTAATCAAGAAGTTGTACAGCTTGACAAAACCTGAGAAACCTGTAAAGTGCTCCAAAGGCTTCCACCTCTGTGTACACCACGGGGTGACTTCGAGTCAGAATCTTGCAAGCCAAACATCCCAGAATGGTCAGGTCCACAGAAGGACTCAAGACCGCCATCAAGACTGATCCTCGGCAAGCCATGGTCGAGTTTCACTCTGGCGGACCCTAGTCCGTCCTCATGGACTGACTGACGGTCCAGCTATACCATCAGACGTAACAGCCAGACCATCAGAGGGTACACCCAGACCAACAGACGGTCCAGCTCGACCATCAGACCGAGTGGCCCGCTGGCAGACGGCTTTTGGGGGCACCAGAGCCAGCTTGGATTTTTTGCACAAGTCCCCGTTTTCCAACGACCACTTGAGGTACACCATCAACTTCACCCCAATGGCACCACCACTACCTCAATGTACGTCTTCAACCTCATTATCAAAACAGAAGACGCTTGGATATTCTATTGATGTACTTGTTTACCAGATATGTCGTCGCACCCGCAACATCATGGCCCAACGAGATACCGATGCAGTGTGTGCAAAGGTGGACACAGCATGAAGACAATATACCCTCATGCTTCCTCCAAGTCGCATCTGCACGCGGTACAAGCCTTTGTCACTCAGCAGGAGGCCGATCACGCTTATCGCCGGCAAATCGCAAGCGCTAGCCAACGTACTCCATCCCCAACGTTGGACAATCTGAACAACCTATTCGATTTATCTGGCGACAACTTCAAACACCGAGATTCACCCTCCCCTCCTCCTTCGCCCCTAACACTGCTACATGGTCTTGACCCCGATGAAGCCAACCCGTTTCACCTTGGGTGGGGTCACACCAATGCAGATTCAGACGACTCTGACGGTGGAATGGGATTTGAAAGGCTGCATGCAGCCTTTGACACTTGCCAATGAAGACAATGATGACGATGAGCGATTGGATGAGGCAGCTCTTGCGGAAGATATTGCAAACATCAACGTTCAAGACGCCGCCGAGTGGTACTACCTTTGCTAAAAAGCTTGCCCGGGTCTGAGAGACAAGAGAAGTCAAATTTGCCCGCAGCCTGCTGCGAAGCCCCTGCGCAGCTCAAATCCAAAATCTGCCCGATCACAGATTTTCAAGTAGATCGACTCGATCTGCTCATCTTTGGCTTTGGGATATCTTGAGATCGATCATAAAGCACACATATCTAGCTCCCAATGATCAAATTGAGCATACAGCTGGTTTATGCGAGTCCTGTCAGGCTCCGAGTGTGATGAAAACTCGCTTTAGTTTACTGGCATAAGAGCAAAGGTGGTCAAATGGCATAATGATGCCTGAATGTTGGTAGATATTCAGTCTTGCTGGCGTGGGTTCAAGGCTGACTGTTTGACTCTTTTTGCTAAACTTTTGAACTGAGATCGAGATTCACATTTTGTATATGTGTCAGTGTGATCATTGTCCTATCATAACCTTACTTGAGCTCTGGACTGGGCAAGGAGAATGAAAAAAAAAATTGTGATAAAAAAGACTTGTGCTTTTTCAATGAGACTAAAATGAAAAAGCATAAAGGAACACGCAGGCTTGAACACGCTAAAATCAAATTCAAACCTCGCATATCACCAATCCAAACCACTACACCAGATAGGCTGTCAGTGCTGCATGTACATACTTGATATCATCAAATGAAAGCTGGGCTCCGCTGTATGATTGATCACGTCTTACCAAGCTCTAAATATATTGTAAGTATAGTTATAATGAGTCTCAGAACTTCGCAAAGACAGAGACAATCAGCTCAAGTCAACTTTGTTGGAAAATTGTGATCAGCCAAATTTGGAATCCTCACAGCAGGCTGCGGCCAAATTTGACTTCTCTTGCCTCCAGACCCGGGCAAGCTTTTTAGCAAAGGTAGTACCTGTTCAAAAAAATTGAGGTGAGAGCAACCAGTTTTCCCATCAAGCCCTGTCTCTCAAAACCAAAACACTGACCTTTACCACGTTGCAGCATGTCGCGGGCTTGTTGATGATTGGATCTACACGTAATCTCCTCTCACGCACCCAATACCAGAGAATCCGCTCAATCCTGCAAATACTTGCTATCAACCTTCTGGACTGGAGTACCTTGAGGGCCGTGGTGAAACGAGTCAAGAAGAACTTGGGGCTAGTGATTCGCAAACACACCAGCCCTTGTGGCAACCCTCTTTTTGGTTTAGACATCAAGATAATCATCATGAATGTGGGTTCATTTCGGACATTCTAACCAAAATTTGGTATAATCCAACTGACGGAGATTTACCAGGAGTTGGCCAACCCTTTGGTCAGCCCTCACATGGTGTATCTCCCAGAACTTACGAACAAGGGGCCTACAAACCGGTTATCACAGTCTACAAAATGGCGCGAACTTTACTCTCCTTGACTACGCGTGCAGATGATATCAGAAAACAAATGTCACTACTACATCTACAAGCCGGTTGAACTACAAACACACCAGCTCGTGGTCCCGGTAGTCTTCTTCCAACAAGACCAGCGCCTAATGGCGAAGTGTCTCCCTGCGTTGGTTATCCCTGATCCACAACATCCACGAAATTTGAAGATCATCATACCTGAAGAACCAACTTTCCACTCCGAAGACCTGTTTACAATCAAGTGCTCCGACTTCTGGAAACCATTGGCGCAGATTGAACTCAAACAAGGCATTTGGCTGAAAGACCTATGTGGAGATTACATGTATCGTCAGTCTAGAGTGACACATGATTTGATATCATATGCGGCTTTGGTGGTTCAATCTGACATCGCTCTTTCCCTCAGATCCCCAAAATCTGACTCTCCCATTGCATCCGGTTCAAAATAGCTGGCGAGCCAAGGCTGGCGGAAAAGTTATCCGCCATCACTACACAAAATGTAATCTTTACCGGGCGGTAAAGAAAACTACTGACATAGAAAACTCCTGAGGCAACAGGAAGAGAGCTAAAAATCTGGAAAAATATGCACCTTGTTCCTAGATGTTGGGGTGTGATGATGAGTATTTTTTTGTATTTTACACACAGATATTGGTTAGTGTACTAACAATAAAGGCTGAAAATCATCAAAAACCCACCTGTAACAATACCTGAAATTTGGGTCATGATCATGAAGACAATATTTTGTGGTCTAAAAACTACAACAACTTCTGCAATTCTGCTCCAAACAACTCAATTTTTGGCTCAGTCAAAAGCTGAACCATTCTCCTTTACACTTAATAAAGGCAGTAAGGTGTTATTTAGTCATGTAAACGCTCTACCTATGCTCAAACAGTTCTGCATGAATTGCTCTGTAGGATCTTTTGTAGACCGGCTACAGATGTGATGTCTCAATGATAAATGTAAAGGAAAGACTCACCTTTTTGATAAACTTAAAATCGAGTGATTTGATTTAGAACTGCAAAAGGTATTGATGTTTGAAGATTTCAAAATCCTCTCTTCAAAATCATGGGCCAAATTTCAGGTATTGTTACAGGTGGGATTTTGATGATTCTCAGCCTTTATTGTTAGTAGACTAACCAATATCTGTGTGTAAAATACAAAAAAATACTCATCATCACACCCCAACATCTAGGAACAAGGTGCATATTTTTTCAGATTTTTAGCTCTCTTCCTGTTGCCTCAGGATTTTTCTATGTCAGTAGTTTTCTTTACCGCCCGGTAAAGATTACATTTTGTGTAGTGCATGTGCCTGTATCTTTATACTCTGATGACATGTCGGGCAACGTGTCCAAAAAATGGAATAAACACATGTGTGTTTATTTTACTTTGGCTGGATTGCCGCCTGCATTACTGCATTATACAACCAGGAATATAATGTACACTTCCTTGCAACTTCGAATTGTGCGAGTGCATTGGAATTATTTGACCAGATCGTTGACGATCTCAAGTAAGTCTCACTTTCAAATGGTTAACCGTGCTAAATATGGGCATTAATCGTGCCCACTTACCTTACAGCGAACACAGTAACGACGGTTTTGTTGCCTATGACCAGAACCTCGGCGAAGAGGTGTTGGTCATGGCTGTCCCATTGTGCCACCTCGGGGATTCGCCAATGCATGCGGAGGTTACAAACACGCTCAATCCCGCCAATACGTTGACGCCATGTCGCATGTGTGAATTGTCTGCTTCCAAAATGGCCGATAAAGAGACTGACGGCTTCGTTCGGGCGTTCATGGGCCTCGACGAGCACGGCAATAAGGTAGTATGCCAGATACATTAAAGCGGTCTGCATTAAGCTGAAACTATTTACTGGTGTTCCTTTCTACAGTGTCTACTCCTGTCGCGCGATTGGAATCTGACTAGGCAGCAAACCAAGTATATCTGGGAAACATCCCAAAAACGAAATCAGAAGACACGTGTGGAAGCATGATCACGCGAATTTGGTGTTAGAGACACCCTAAACGATTACTTTGTGAAAACCGTCAATGTTGCTCACAAGAACCTACCGCCAGCTGAGGTCAACAAAGTCTGTCAGGACTTGAATGCTAAATACGGGGATCGGTTATTCAATCCATTTTTGCAACTCAAAGGTGGGTTCCATAAAATCTAGCGCTTTACCTACAAACTGACAAAATCTGCTAATCTGCCAGGTTTCAACGGTCATGCCAATACACCGGTGGAGGTGCTACATGTAGTGTTATTGGGCATTGCAAAATACTTATTTGGTGATGCCATGAAAGAAATGGGCAACACGAAACCTGGATCAAAGTTGTACAACACCATCTCTGGCAGATGGCGTTCAGTCAGTACAAAAGGATTAAAGGTGCTGCCAATTCAGCCCAATGTGTTTATCACATATTATCAAAGCTTGGTGGGAAAGGAATTCCGCACCGTATTGCAGATGATGCCATTTGCTTTATTTGAACATATCTCCGAGGACAAGAGGGAAATGTGGATAGCACTTTGCATTCTCTCCTCATACATATTCCAGACTGATATACCCGACATTAAGAAATACCTTGCCGAATTGGATATTCACATTAGTAGGTTTCTCAACAAACTCGTCTGCCTCAACGCGCGCTGGGTGAATAAACCCAAGTTCCATATGTTGGTTCACCTCCAATATTTGATCCGAAGGTTTGGCCCGGCTTCTCTTTTCGCAACAGAGAAATTTGAATCCTTCAACGGCGTAGTGCGGCACGCTTCAACTCACTCGAATCATCACAGCCCAGGGCAAGATATTGCCAATACATTCAACACTCGCCTAATGTTGAGATTGTTAATATCATCATCATCCTTTTTTGATCACGACCTACAAACCCGAGTCTTTGGTGGTCCCCAATTGGGGAATTTGTTGCAATTGATCCCGGAATTGTACCAGGCCATGGGTCTGGATTCTGCGCTAGGCCGGCGTCCCGCCGTTTCCACAGGCAGTAGGTTGGCCGTTGGTTATGTCCAAAGTACTTGCCATTACTGACAGTGTTCATGTAGCCATGATTGAACCCCAATCTGCGCCGCCAGCCTTGTTGTCCAACAGTCCTCACTTTTGGGCTTTGAAGGAATTTCAATCAATGAATATAGCGCGCGGTCAAAAGGTCAAAGTTAACAATTCTGTGTGGGCGAGTTGCACCCACCATGGTTTTCAAGATGTTTAACACCCAATATGCTGATCCTTTGCTGTAATACTATCTCGCAATTATCGGACTTAAAGATGATAGCAAGGGTCCAGTCGATTTGGAGGCCCAAAGGACTGGCGGTGTAGAACTCCTACGCAGTGTAGCGTAGGCTGAGCCGGAGAAGGTAAGAATCACCACTCGAGAGAGCGGATGAAACTGCCAGTGCTGTTACGCTGCCTTCGTCCTTAAAATTATTGCAGTTCAAAAAGAACCAGAACAACTCTTAACAATTTTCTCTCCCCACGAATTCCTCCCGTAACACAATTTTAAGTTTTACAAAAGATCCGCAAGGTTTGGCGGACTCCGATGATACCACACTCGACTCTACACGATGTTGTGATGCGAAGTTATGTGAATTTCGAATCTTAGAGATTTTATGGCGATGTGTAATAAATTACACACAGGTCCGGTCTATGTAGCCCGGAACCCGTTCGACCCGGCCTCGACTTGGATCAAGAGGCGGGTTTGTTGATTTTGAGATAATCTTGAATTCAACGAACTGAGGACTCCGTTCTGACTCAGCTCAGCAACATCAGTTGAGACTCCTAGAGAAAAGATAACAAAACACAGCACACAACGATTTCTTAAAATTCCCTTTGTTTGTTTTGGTTGATACAATGACAACATCAGAGACAAAAGAGTTGAGTACATTTAGTTGATATTGATATAATTCAAATTTGATTATGTTGCAATGTACTTCGGGGGAATTCAGGAAATCCTTGATGTGACAAATCAAGACATACAACAAAACTTGAAATGTTGACAGCGGCACCCGCCGCAAGGTGCTAGTTTCTTTAAAAAGGGAGTCAATTGACTCGGCCAGAAACTTGATTAAATCAAACAAAGTCAAACATTGATAGGCTAACCTCATTTCTTGCAAAAGCCATGAGAGACTTCTATTACAAGCCCAGTAGTCAATTCCTCAAATGTCACATATGATTTTTAATTTTTTATTTACTTTTTTTATATTAGCATGTCCTGAAGATTGACATCATCTTGAAACTGGAATTATAATGGCTCATGTAGTAGTGATGAGTTATTCAATTGGAAGTCCTAATGCATTTGGTTGAAGTACGACTTATTGGTTACCCACTATTACATCTTTAGGTGTGAATGCCAATATCCAAAAACTGCCAATTTATCTTGGTGACTGAAATTCAAGATTTTGTTCCTTCACATTGGGTCACATGACTTTTTAGCCCAGTGATTTTGGTTGGAAATAAGTTTGAATTGAGAGACAATGACGGTGTTGAGAATGAAGCTTTTCAATCAGATGCAATATCATATGCTTTGGCTTGCAGGTACCTGGATTTACTATCTTACTTATCCAATGAACTTTACTTCTTGGTCATCAAATAATTTTGATTAGAACTGGTGCCTTTGATGAGAGAATTCAAAGAATTGGAAACCTGTATGAAAAGTAGTGCAAAAGCCTCACCTGTATGATTTATATCTCTTCTGGTCCCCTTTCAAGCTGATAGGCTGTAGCTTCCAACGATGTCTTAGAAAATTAGGGAAACCTTTTGCCTAGCTCAAAATGCTGCTCTACATCCAAGAGCACCTCTCTATGATCCAAGAAAACATGCGAATTCAGTCATCAACTTGTGTTGTGTGTCAATCTTGGATTTTCTCTTTTGTCAACTGCTTAGTCATTGAAACCGCTGGGTAAACACTCTCACACAAGTACTCAAATTGTGTGATGTAATAAGGATAACATATTTGACAACAAAGAATTACACAAGATTCAAGTAGGTGTAGAATTGATGGCCTTTTTTTCCCTTACTTTTGATCTGTTCAACGGATCTGAAAAAGAGTTGGTAGTCCAGCCTTACACAGAAAAAAGACATATAGGCATATCACTTACTCATTGTTTTGTCATGTGTAAAATTACAGTGGAAATTTTTGCTGTACCTTTACAATAGTAATACAAAGAGCTCAGACCAGTACAAACTGATGCTTTACAAGAAGATATTTGATATTTGACGTTTGATAGCCATATCACTTGTGAGGGATTCCTCTATTTAGATACCTGTGTCATTCAAAGTGGAAGATTAGGAATAGTTTGGTGTGTATTAAGAGTATTTGGATATGGTGATGATCTCACAGTAAGTGAAACATTTTTACCCCATGGGTTCACTGAAAACTTGACCTGTACCTCTTTTCAACTATATTTATTCAGAACTTTTTTTGGGAAGATCCAATATTCCAAAAGAATGTTCAGTCAAACTTAGTCCTTCTGGCCATGTGTTTTCCAAAGATCTTTTTGAAACCTTTGATCAGGTGTGTTTCAAGGATTGTCTCTTCCTGCTTATGTACCCAGAATTCTAAAGTCACTTTTGTGTTCTGATGTAGGATTTATATGGTGCACTCAACATAGAAGAGTTGAAATTGTTTTTCAGTACGTTGCCCCAAAATCCATGGATCAATCAAGGATTCCATCATACAACAATCACAATTAGATCTAAGTGAAGAATGTAGCAATTGCTTTGAACAGTTCATATCAATCCAATCAAGATGGGAAGTGTATTGATGAATTTGGATCAGAAATGAATTTATGAAGTATTCATCTGATTGGTCCAACTTGGACAAACTTAATAGAAGTTGATTGGATTTGATGATCCATTCTCAGCTTACTGTGGTTACCTATGGATGTGAGAGGAGGTGGTGTTCACGTAGCCTGTGGGCTACAATCTCTGAGACCCTCGTGGTCTCTGTGTGTGAACATCCACCCGTGTGTAGCCTTACAATTGTCAAGCGGGTACGGTACGCGGGGTGAAAGGCCCTGGCCTGGGGTCTTTGGTTTTTGTAAACCACAATTGGTTTTACTAAACCAAGGCCCGTTGGCTGGAGTCCTCAGGGTCGGTGGGTGGGATGTTCTCTGCACGTTGGGTGGGTGGGATGTGCACAAAAATCCACTGGTGTGAATGCTAATGAGCAGCTTGCAATAACCAAGTTTGGAAAGGAAGGGATGAGCGGGTGGTGAAAAACTCAGCCTGAGAATTTGAGAGGCGTTCTTGCCTTCTAAATTATCTCTGAGGTTTCACGCGCTCACCTTTCCTGTGTTATGGCGGTTCATGACATCAAATTTATTGGGAAAATTTAAAAGAAATCAAATTCAGATAATGATCAGCCTTAAAAATCAATCAGTTCAGGCTCAGGAAGTTTAGGGGCTACCTGAGTATTTAAGTCAATTTTACTTTTGTCTTCTCTATGAATTATTGATCAAGAAACGATGAATTCTATAAGTTTAAGAATTGACCATGCTCCTATAACTTCATTCAAAGCAGCAAGAGCAGAAGCATCCATTGATGATTTCTTCTGAGTTGAAGAATTAGATATTTGTAGATGATGTTTATTGAAATGAATCATGTGGCATTGATTATTCAAACATGATTGTTGAATTTCTATGAGACTGTATGAATTGATTGCAGCACAAGTCGATTTTTTGAAAATTCTTTAAACACTTCATGACTTGAAACTTGGATGAAAGACAGAGACTCATTTGAACCCCAAACCAAAGAAGAAAATATCTAATTAATGTGGATGGTGATTGATTTTTTGGTGATGCAGAAATCCAAAAATACCATGATGAAAAAAATGACATGACAAAATTGATAAGGCAGAATGTTTCATCATTTCAATAATAGACAGTTTGACAAAAATCGTTTTCATGGAAGTTGAGGGTTCAAAAGAAATGAGGAAATAAGGTTAGTCAATTGTAAAGTTCAATCCAAGATCATCCATAAACTTGAAATTTTGTGAAAGAAAATCAAGCATCAATTGATCATCAAATGACACTTGCAAATTAACTTAATTTTGAGGAAGGAATAATTGTGATCAGAAGAAGCTTAAGAAGGGGATGTTGATGAAGGTTTGAAGGCAATATTGGTTGGGGATTTGGGTAAGAAAGCGCTTGGAAAAGAATAGAAACTTTGGTATGCAAGTGGAATAGACAATATTTTTGTCACATAGGATTTGGGTCTGTGTTGAATGATCTTGTGGATTTTTGATATCTTTGACTCTAGGTCTTGGAAATCATATATTAATTTGTGAGCCATTCTTCTGGACTCTAATTCACTGTTTTGAGATCTCACAGTCAACTGCTAAACAAAGCCTCCATCCAATGGGAAGATGACAACACGAAGAGAGAACAATATGAAATGATTTGCTTGGTCTGATCAGTAAAACTATGTATCTCCTGACTGAGCACAACTCCACACTCTTGCAGGGCACTTTTGACCTTGTAAGTTTGGTGCTTCAAATATGAGGAGCAAGTTTCTGATAGTGGCACTAGAGTTATGTATCTACAATAAAAAAGGTAAATTTTGTTACACTCAGCAACACAAGGTTTCAATTGCAGATGCACTATTTATCATTGCTGTTGTGAAACCAAGATCAGTGTGAGAGTCTAAGAAATCTCTCGGGAAGAAGCTGTGCGGCACTGGCCGCTGATAGGGCTAGTCCCTACTAAAACCTGCTCCAAAGCGGTGTTGGCAAGAGCGTCAGGCCATCAAGTATTTGATTGTGGTATGTTTCGACCATTTCTAATTTATCATCTCCAAAGAACAAGTGTGGAACCGTGTTGAACTTTTAATGCATCTTTCTGCTAGATAATTTCCATACTTGTGAAATGAAAAAAACCAATCTGCTT